TACTCCAGTTTATCATCTTAGGTCAATTGAAAGTTATAAAAGCTTAAGGCAAGGAAGAAATAACATGGAATTCTATTTGAAGGACAACAGAACATTCTTGGAAAAGCAGTTCCAGTTGGCTTTTCAACTGTGTCAAACTTGAATGTATAAATCCCCACAGAGCATGGACAGTTGGTGCAGAGTTCCAAGGAAACAATTACTGCCTGATGATCACTTCCATTTTGTATACACTCTTTGGGTGATATAGGCCATATTCCAACTGGCTTTTTAGTAATAGAAGTCCAGTATATAATGTATAAAAAACAATGAGGTTCTAATCTAGTGTATTAATTTATCTGAATTTGGATTTTTTTAAAGTAATAAAAAGTTAAATGTACTTCCCTTGGATGCTTTATTTCTTGTCTTTCTGAAACATGAACCAAGCATAAGGGATAACCCATTATTGCCATGCAAATGAAGAACTAATAGCTTTACACAATTAAATAAAGCAGGGGTCTGCAGACTTTCTGTGCAATTCTAGATAGTAAATACTTCAGGCTTTGAGTACCATACAGTCTGTTGAAACTATCATTGCAGCACCAAAGCAGCCCTAGTAGACTACATAAACTAATGAGAATGCTGTGTTCCCATATAATTTCACAAACAGCCCACAAGCGATAGTCTGCTAACCCCTGAAATGATGTATTTAAAGTTTAAGGTTTAAATTTATATTTTGAAAAAATTTTTAATGTACAGTTTATAGTTGAGAGAATGTTCCAATGAATAAGCTTGGTCTTTCTTAAGAAATGATTTTTTTTTGTATTGCCATTCTTTTGACTTTTTTGCATACCTGACTCCTACACTCAGACTTTACCATCTCTTTGCCTGCCATCCTCTGATGGATGATACTTTGCATTTATTTAGCTTTTTTTTTTTTTTTTTTTTTTTCGGCAGGGCGGTGTGGGGGGTGTGGTGCAAAGATGGTGTTTTACTCTTACTGCCCAGGCTGGAGTGCAGTGGCGCAATCTTGGCTCACCACAACCTCTGCCTCCCAGGTTCAGGAGATTCTCTTGCCTCAGTCTCCAGAGTAGCTGGGATTATGGGCATCCACCACCATGCCGGCTAATTTTGTATTTTTAGTAGAGATGGGTTTCTCCATTTGGTCACGCTGGTGTCGAACTCCTGACCTCAGATGATCTGCCTGCCTCAGCTTCCCAATGTGCTGGGATTACAGGCATGAGCCACCACACCCAGCTGCAGCATTTACTGATTTTTCAAAGCAGTCTCACATGTTCCTTCACCAGCATCCTGTGAAGCTGGTAGAGTAGATAGCCATGTCTTATGGATAAGAAACCAGGGCAGCTAAAGGTGCTCTTATTTTTAGCCCAGAAGTAATCAAGATTCAGGGCCCTATTGTCTTGACTATTGTAACTGCAAAACGGGGGTGTCACCCTCTCTAGCCTGTGAGGCAGATAATGTATGTAGAAGTCATATTTTGAAAATTAGTGTTCTGTACAAATGGAAGAGGTTTTTACTGTGCCACATTGAAATCAGTGCTTAATTTCTTCATGTCTATTTGTATGTTTTGTTTTTCTGTTCCTGATTATAGTTTTTTTTAATCCTGACCAATCTCCTTGGTTTGGTTTTGTTTTGTTGTTGTTGTTGTTTTGCTGTGGACTCAACACGCTTTTATTAGGTCCTTGGTTCTTTTCTCCTGGTTTTATTAGCTGTCTCAGTCAACACCTGTACTTGGCAATTCCCGTTAGCCAAATAGTTGGTAAAAATTTGGATTACTTTTGATTTCTTTAATGAAAATTTTTGTCCAGTTGGAAAACAGGAGAGCAGGAACTTTTATGCAGCCAGTTTCCTGATTTCAAGTGTAAACTATTTTTGTGGAACTGTTACTCTGAAATATAGCATTAGAAAAGAGGGGAGAAGGCCTAATTGGGACATATGGGACAATTAATTGATTATTTAAAGTGATTTTCAAAGTTTGCATGATTACTTTGCTTGACAGCCATTTCAAAGGAAAAAGAGTGGGAGATGGCTACAGGAGTAAATTGATATAAGTGGGACTGGCCAGTGTTACGGTTATTCTTAGTGGCCCAGTCTAAGCCACTAGGATTACAGGACTTAATCTTTAAGGTCAGGAAGAAAAGGGAGAGTCTACAGAGACATGGAAGGTGGTTCTAAGTTGGGGTTGGTCAGCGAGGTCTGCTACAATTGTAGACCAGAAAGGGCAGACCTAGGTAGCTAAGTGTCACAGGTATGGTAGCTGCAATGCTGGCATGAGGATGTGGGATGTGCTGTTATCAAGGTGTCCCAGGCAAAGAGATGGAGGTGTGAAGCAGCAAGGCTGGGTTAGAATGACAGCAGGATGTTTAATGCCAGACTAGAATGTGGGAGGTGCCCAGACTGCAAAAGTGAAAGGAAGGCTTGATGGTAGACGGAAGACCTGGTATGCCACCCTGCGGAGCTTGGATAAAGATTTTGGAGAGCCAGGAAGGGTTTTAAACAGCTGTTAAAAATTGTAATCTCTTTAATTATATTCTCCAAAGAACTCAGTATCTTCTCAGTGGTTAGCAGGGTAAAGGAAGGAATGAGCTGGCATGATGAGAGTGCCCTCTATTTTGGAAATTCTGCTCCCTGCACTGGAGCAAATTATGTTGTATAATGGCCTGGAGAGGCAAAATGAGAAAGTGGTCCAGGTGGATAAAACTCAGACTTGAAGGGCAAGAGAACCCAGTTACTTTGGGCATAGGGGTATAGATGGAATGAGTTGGGTGGGGGATGGACATCTAAGAGGAGAAAAACACTTGTTCAGGTTCACAGAAGACCCAAAGATGCGGCAACCTAAAGTAATGAATGTAATAATGGAGCTAAGTTGAGCAGTTTGAGCTCATAAATCCTGTTATTCTGAATCTACCTCTGTTTTTTTTCATAGTTTTTAAAGAAGAATACATTTTAAAAATTATCTGAACCCAGATTACAGTTTAGATTTTAGAGTTTTATCTTACAGTGTTGCTTTTCAGTCATTCCTTTCTAATCTTTCTAGTGAACCAAATATTTTGTTGCCATTTATTGGTTGATAGTCAAAGTAGCAACTAAACTGGACTTCTACTCTAGTAACATAAAACTGCGGCTTGTTCATTCAAGAACACCACTGTCTTCAAAATATTTGGACAAAGGGTGTTGGTGAGAAGATCGGGCCACTACTCACCAGGTGGGGGCTGGAGGTCATGAAAGTTCCCAACCTCATTGCTTGCACAAGAGGTGGCCTCTCATGTCTATTTTCCAGAGGAATTTCCTACGAATGAGTAAGCCAGTTGGTGGTTTGCCTAGTGCCATCTGGAGACCTGGAAGTGTCACAGAAGTTTGTTCAGCCTTTTAGGTGTTGACTCTGTGGACTTGTCTACTGAGATGTGGTGACCTTCATGGGGGTGAATGCAGAGAGCTGTGGCGTTGGGTTTGACGACTCCTGGCATTCCAGGCAGAAATGCATGTCATTCAGCCGCCTTCCATTCCTGTTGCCTATGCATTGGCCACTTGGCCTTCCCTGCCATTTGGTGGCATTTATCCCCTCCAAGTTCCTTCCTCCCACCTGCCAGTTTCTAACCAGATCTTGCCCATCCAGCTCCATTCTGTATGTTATGTGCCCATTTGATGAAACAGCACGAGGCAGGTCAGTGTTGCATTTATTTCTGACAGCGAGGACAAAACATGAGTAGCATCCTTCCAGTAGTTAACTTTTAGCTCTTTACTGGTGTGAAGGACCCATTATCCTGGTTGACGGATGAGAAGACAGATGACCATAAATGCAAGAAATGCAGTTTGATGTGAAGCCCAGTGCTCCCTGTTGACTATTTTGTCAATGATGTATGTGAAACACTGTGGAAATCCAAAAAGAAAGTTGTCCATTTTTCTGCTTGCAGTTTAAATTGAAAAAGGATTCTACTGGGCATGATGCAAAGTATCTCTACACATACACTTTTGTGTGTTATACTTGATAGGAACATTTTACTTGCATAAAAAGATCTTTGAAAAGCCTCACAGTAATAATACTTTTTATATCTCTAAATCAAAATGGCTCAGTTCTTACAATTTTTACATTTAAGGTACAAAGTAGAAATGGATTTCAAATAGCTCTTGATTAGGCTCCTAAATTATTTGGGCATATATTTTTAATTGGCAAAAAAATAACCAGACTTCAGAAATTGGTCATTTTTATTCCATCAAGTTAACAGTGAGTGGCTTATTTAATAAAAACATGTCTGTAATTTAACACAAAGAGCACGTACAGTTGTTCATTTGTGTCTTTTTGACTGTATAAAGCATCTTAGACTATTTTACTGAAAGATAGGGTCACCGAGAGGGGAAATCTGTGGGCTTAAATCTTTTTCTTCCTTACCTATAGCAGCCACTAGGTTAGGTTAGGTGGGTGCCGCAGCAAGCGCCCTTCATGGCTGGACTAGAGGATGTGGAGAGAGCTGTGAGAATCGCAATCCTCGATTTTTTTTTTTTTTTTTTTTTTTCCTGCACTGAAAGGGACATTCACTCATCCCTGAAGAGAAGCAGCTGCCCGAATGCACACAGCCAGCTGGTGGTGACACGAACCGCGCACACAGGGCTCTCGGTCCAGCGCTCGGAGCTCTAACCACTGTTGCAGCCTCCGGCCACGTGTGCATCGGGGAGTTGTAAAGTGAGTTAGGGAAATAAAACGAGGCGGGAACCCCCGCCTCGATCTTCAGGAGCAGCGTTCTCAGGAGTCTGAGGCCGAGGTGGCGCCCCGGGCAGGCGCCTTCGGCTGGGTGAGCGCAGAGCTGGCCCCCGGCCCTTGGCTTCAGCATCTTCACCTCGCTCCCCTTCCTCCGAAGTTGCGGAGGTGCCGGGAAGAGGAGGGGCCTCGCCTCGGGCGCCCGAGTGATTGGCTACCCAGGGCTCCTGGCGAGGGCTGTGTGGTCCAGCCCTGGTGGAGAGGGGCGGAGCGGCCACTGCTCCAACCACCGCCGCCACCGCCACAGTCGCAGCCGCCGCAGCCTCGGCCGCCGGGCTAGTAGCTCCGAGAGGCGGCTTCCCGGTTGTCCTGACGAAGACAGGGGGCGCCGCGCTCCGCTTGCTCCGCGCCGGAGCCATGCCCGGCAGCCCAGTGTAACCACCGAGTGCCGGCCACAGCCGACCGACCCAGTGCACCGTCCTTCTGCCAAGCTGAGCTTTCGTGCACACAACTCCCTCTGCCCCCGCCGGCCCTGCGCCACCATGCCCCGGGTGACTGCACTTGGGGCCCTGGTGTCACTGCTGCTGCTGCCGTTGCCTCGCGGCGCCGGGGAGCTCGGAGAGCGCCCGGACGCCGTCGTGGACTACTCGGCGCTGGACGGCGAGGAAGGCACCGAGCAGCAGCTGGAGCATTACCACGACCCTTGCAAAGCAGGTAGGTGCCGCCACTGCCGGGGAAGTCCCGCAGAAGTTTGTCTTTGAAATGCAAATGAGGTGGTGGGCAAGCCTGCGCTGCCGTCTTTGGGGCGGGTCTCCTCTCCCCTCCCCTGAGATCCCCGGCTCCCTGGGAAGACAATGTCTCCGAGGAATTGCCTAAAAATCACTCCGAGGCTGGGACGTCCCGGTCCCAGGTTTGCGGCGCGCACCAGGGGGGCAACAGCCGGCACGTTCCCAAAGCGAATCAGGGCGGGTGCCCGAGGCCAAGAGGGCGCCCAGAGGCCGGGGCGGGTGCCAGGGTCGCCTGACAGCGGGTGGTCAGCACCGGCCACCGCCGGACACTCTAGGTCGGAGCAGAAGTGCGGGGCTGGGCGCGGCGCTCCCAGGCTCTGAGGGAGTTGTTGCTGGCTCTGATTTCACAGCATTCCTAAGTTTCTCGCAAAGTTTCCCCAAGATCAGTGGTTACGCTTCGGAGGAGATTTTAAAAAGAAGAGCGTCACAGTGGGCAAAAGGAAAAGGGTCGCCGAGGGAGAAGGAGCAAGACTCGAATAGCCGGAAACTTCCCCGTAGCCCCTCGGCGTCGTCCGGGCCTGAGGGTCGCCCTGGGCGGGCGGAGATGGAAGCCAGCAGGTGCTCTAATCCCGCCCGGAAACGGCGCCCCGGGACGTACCGGCCTTTCGGGCGCAACCGCCGTCCCAGCGCTGCAGCTCCCGCTTCCCCGGAGCCACCGGCCGGCTCTTGAGTCCCGAGGGGACCGGCTTCCGAGCTGGAGTCGGTGAGGCGTTAGCCTCCGACGGGTCGAAGCGCATGTTCCAGCAAGCTGATGAGTGTGGGGCAGTTCCAGCACGGACAGAAGGGTGCTCAAGCTCCCCGGGAGATGCTGGGCTCAGAGGCTCGCACAGACGCTTCCGGCCATTGGTGGTGTTTATCTCTGGCTTTGTGCGGCTCTGTTTCACTTGGCGGTGAGCAAAAAGGAATTGGGAGGGAAGAGCGCGACCTCCTCCCTCGCGGAGCAGGTGCTCCTTCCCGGGGCTGTGGCCGGCCAGGTCTCTGTGGGGCCTGTGGGCCAGTGGCTGCCCCTTCACACTCTGAAAACCTCTATCAGTTTCAGATTCCGCATCTCTAAATTGGTGGCAGTAATTATAGGAGGCTCAGGTGATTTATGGGAACATCCTCTGCAAATGAAATGATGGCATTGTCGTCATTTTTTATTGTTACTGTCACTGCAGTGGCTCGGGTCTAGGCTGGGAGTTGCCAGGGTCAAGACTGGGTAGAGTCTGGAGAAGACCAGGGTACTAGGAGGCAGGAGGGGTTTGTGAGACTTGAGAATCTTGTGAAGATTGAAGATCAAACTAGTCTTGAGGGTTCTGGTCTTAGAGAGGCAAGTTTTCTGCAGAACATCCACCTATTGCTGCACCTCATGGGGCTTCTGAGTTAGGAAGGTGGGCAGAAGAGTTGGTTCCTGGGCAAATGGAGAAAACCTCAACAGGTAGCATGCCTGGCTCAGGTACCGTGAGTACCTAATTCAAGGCCAAAGAGAAGAGGCTCCAGAGCACTTGTGGAATGGCAGACTGGCCCTGAAAAGAGGGCCCCTGAAGCTGGGAAAATAGGTGTGGGATAAAGGGAGTGGCTGGACCACCTTCTGCCCTTGTCAGATCCTCGACGCTGCTGGGTGTGAGCTGGGACCTCTGGGAGGCAGTGCGGGCAGTTAAGGCCTGGAGTGAGGAAGGGATTAATATGCTCAGGAATGTATGCTGCACCTCTTAGTATGTTGGGTGCTGGTCTGGGCACTGTGAATCCAGATGTACAAGAGACATCCAGCTCCCGGTCTCAGCCGTGGAGGATGACCCCGAGGCAGGCTTGCTTGTTACAGCCTCATCTTCCTCAGTAATTTTAGAGAAAATGCAAGATAACCAGGGGCATGCATATTCTGTGATTCTTCACAGACAGGATGGGATGCACAGCCAGGGCCAGAAGGCGGAGGGTCTGGCCAGTGTGGCTTCAGCCAGCTGCAGGCATCCTCCTCAACCTCTTTGAATTCCACCAACCCACTGGCCTCTCCCTGGGATACCCTGATGCTAAGACTGGCCAGAAGAGGGCGATGATAAGAACAACCTGGGGAAAAGGTAACATCTCAGCCACCCCATCTAATTGGAAATTGCCTGACCTAGAGAACAGCTGTCTGGAAGGCCAGCAAGCAGTTCACCAGTGTACTGAAGTCTCAGAGAAAGGACTTGCCTCTTGGCTAGGGGGACACTGCACTTCTTGGTTGCATATTTAATGCAAACCATCTAGGGGCAGCCTCCCATTCTATATCAGTGAAATCCTAAAGCCCTGACTCTTCCAACCAGAAGTTTTCCCTTTAGGACCTGCCTCAGGGCTGCAAAGCTAAAATACCTCCCACTCTCCCTTCTTGGTGCACGTCTCCATACTGTGGACTCAGAATGCAGAAAGGAGAGTCTTGCATCTATTCCTGGCTTCTCAGGAGCTGTGTTACCTGGACGATTCCCCTCCTCTTTGGGCCCCAGTTCCTTACCTGCAGAATGAAAATGGCTGCCTTGTTAGAACTGCAAAGCAACACGTCCAGAGAGCTTGTGCTCTTGGTCTACATCAACCATCTTGCCGTGGGCCTGCCTCATACCTTGCAGGCACTTCAGTGTAACGATCATAGAAGACACCCCCTGGGTTTCTTCCTATCTAGTGTTCTATGAGTCTATGATCGTTGGTTCTAGCTCAGCCTCTCAGAAGATGAACAAACTGGTAATTTTACTGTTTCACTACTTTTGCAATTTTTTAATACTGTTTTTACCATTTACTCTGCCATTTACAAGCTGTGTGTCTTTGGGCAAATCACTTGATTTCTCTGGACATTAGTTTCGTCATTTGTAAATGGGGATGATTCCTGATAGATTAAAGTACTTAGAACAGGGCTTGAGATATAGATACCTCATAAACGGATTTTCTAGAAACTGATGGAAAGAACATCTTCATGCTGACCTTAACACAGGTTTTAAGCTGGAAAATTTAGATTTTCTAATAATCTATTTGATGCTGTAAAAAGGGGTGACTTTTAAATCAAATGACCGGGGAGTGCGAGTTAGTCTATGAAGCCCTCCTGGCCTGGGGCTGGTGAAGGGGGTGGGGCTTCCAGGGCATGTTCTCTGTCTGGTAGTCCATAGCTCTGCTATTTTTCTTCTGATACTGTCAATACAGCTAAGGGTTCAACTGGCAGTATATCACAAGGCTTCCTTCTAGCCACCATGCCTCTGAGAGCAAAGCTTGGGAGGACTGCTCCTGCCTACATGCCTGCTTGTCCTCAACCACAATGTTTAAGGTGATTTCACGCCGGGGCCTAGATTCTTATCTTGCCCCTGCCCTCCCCCCACCCCGCCATGTGACCTTGAGCAAGTCATTTTACCGGTCCATGTCTCAGTCTCCTCAGCTACAAAATAGGAGTGGGAGCAAAAATGCTTGCCCTGCAGGGTAGACAAAAGGTCAGTTTTAGTTGGATTCTTCGGAAAGAAGAGCCTTAGACAAGGACTTGGGTGTAGATAGTTTGTGTGGAAGGTGATCCTAGGAAGCAGGGCTGAGGGAGCAGGAGGAATGAGACAGGGAAGGAGGAGATCCAATGAAGGGAGTGGAATCAAGGTAGCTGCCTTAGGCAATGGGCCCCTGACCCCACTGGGAGCTCCTTAGAAGAGCTTACAGAATGCCTCTCGAGTTACCTGCCAGAGAATAGGAGGCTGCAGCATTTATCCGAAGGCTGCTGCCCTTCGTTGTCTGCTCCCCGAGTTAGTTTCTATTCCCCTATAAGAAAGCTCTCCAGACCAGTGGCATAGAACAACCTCTGTTTCATTATGTCCATGATTCTGTTGATTAGGAGTTTGGAAAGTACATAGCAGGGGAGGCTTGTCTTTGTTCCGTGATGGCTGAGCCTCAACGAGGAAGACTTACAGGCTGGGGTGACTCAGCAAGTGGGGTCTGAAGTCATCTGAAGGCTCGTTCACTCACATGTCTGGCTGTGGAGGTTGTCTGCTGCCTGGGACCTGTTGGCCAGAACACCTAGGCGGCCTCTCCATGTGGGCTAGACTTCCTCAAATCACGGCGGCTGCATTCTAAGTGCATGCATCCCAAGAGAAGCAAGTGGAAGCTGTGTTACCTTTGATAGCTTTGCCTCAGAGTCACACATTGTCACCTGCATCATGGCCACAGGCCCTCCCAAATTCAAGGTGGGCAAGCAGAGACCTATCTCTCCAGTGGGAGGCATGTCAATATCACATTGTTAAAAGAGCACATGAAATGGGAGATGTTGTTGCAGCCAGTTTTGGAAAAGATGACTTGCCACATTCCCCAAGTCATTCACTTCCCTGAATATCTGGGAATAGAGGGCTCTACAGATTCAGAAAAAGTTCTCAAGCAGAAAGGTGGGGAGACATGTGGCAAAGGCATGGAACTGCCCAGTGGTGAGCTGAGGGCATGTGACTCAAAATTGTCTACATGAGGCTCAAATGATATGAAAATGCTGAACAGCTTTTCAGGTTTATTAAATGTAAGGGAATTGCCTGATAGCCAGCTTCACTTTTCAGTGGATGGCTTGGTAAATACCAGGGCGTTATTCATGGCTGTGGGTCCCATGCTAGGATAGGATAAATACAGCTGGTGGTTCCTCGTGTCTTGTGGCTCAGGAACCATTAGTGAGGGCAAACCCACACTTCCAGACTTGACTTCTGCCTGGAATTTGGTGTCTCACCTCACTCTGCCATAATCTCCAAGACATCTTACCAATCAGGTTTTCTTTTGGGGCTCACCCAGACCCTCTCTGGGGCAGCTCTTGCCAGCAGCCCTCACATAACCGTCAGCCTAGAAACTGAAGCAGCCCAGGGCCAGTGTGCCAGAGACTCCTGAAAGTGCTCCGAGTGGCGCTGGAGAGATTGTAGAGTCCTGAGCAGTGCTCCTCTGGAGTTGCCAACCTTCATGGCAGGGTGGGCATCCTGGCTT